TTTATTATTTATAGAGAAAATATTCGATTAGGAGGTTATCGATTGATACTTTTGGAAAGCATTGTTGGATCAATAATATTTATTGGAACATTTACTGTTATTGCTACTTTGATTCAGGATCGTCAATCTTCATCTTCAAATCTTTCAAAAGATATAACTGGTTAATATTCACAAGAATGTTTTCTAATCACATTTATTTGTTATAATATAATTAGAATCAACTAACATGATCACAGATATTTCATATAAAAGTTCAACATCAATATCAGCATCAACAATACGTAAATATACATATAAGAATTTCAAAAGAATTAAATTTATTATAAATGATTTAGATCCCAGATGTGAAGAATTAACATTTGTATTAGCAGGTATTTATGAAATTTTCTCAAATGCTTTCTCAATTGGTATTGGTGACTTTAATAATGATAAAAATCTAGATATAATTATTTCTAATTGGAATAATAATCAATTTGATTTATTTTTCGGTTATGGAAATGGAAGTTTTGGTTCACATAAAATTTATTCAACAATTGGTCTTATCTATTTTATTGCTGTTGATAATACTAATAATGATATTATTATTCTCATCATGAAACTAATCAAGTTGGTCTTTTAATTGGATATGGAAATGGAAGTTTTCAAAATGAAATCTATTTTACAATCTCAGATTATCCAGTTTCCATTGGTATTGGAAATTTTAATGATGATATTTATCGAGATTTAGTAATTCCTTGTATGGATGATCACGTAGCAGAGGTTATTTTAATGAATTCAAATGGGAATCTATCTTGGTCAAAAAAAGAATATGTAACTGGATATCTTCCAACTTCAGCAGTTGTTAATGATTTTAATAATGATAATAAAGATGATTTTGCTGTAATTAACTCTTTTATTAATAGTGTAAGTGTTTATTTAGGAATGGAAAATGGAAGTTTTATTTTTACTAATTCTTTTGTAACAATGCTTGATCCATTAGTAATAGCTGCAGGTGATTTTAATGGTGATAATATAATCGATATTGTTACAGTTAATTGTAATAGTTATTCTTTCAGTTTATTATTTGGATATGGAAATGGATATTTTCAAGAACAAAAGAATTATTCAACTCATATATGTTCTTATTCTGTAGCTGTTGCTGATTTAAATGGAGATACTTATCTAGATTTAGTTTTTGATAATTATCATAACTCAAGTGTTATGATTTATCTCGGTTATGGTGATGGAAATTTTCGACCACCCATTCGTGTATTTACACCGATAAATGCAATTTTTGTTACTGTGAATGATTTTAATCATGATGGTCGTTTGGATTTAGCTATTTCACATTATAATGGATATTTAAGTGTTCTTTTAAGTACATGTTAACATTATTTAATACAATTTTCTCTTTATTATCTCAAAATAAATGCCCAAGAAACAAACAAAGAAATGAACTAAAACTTTTGAAAAAACTTTCTTGAAAGCTAAAATATGAAACTCAACTATTGCCTGATATTTGTTTCTGCACTTCGAATAAACACAGAAATAGTGATGTGAAACATTTTTTATAAAGTCAGAACTTGAATGATTAATTGATAGTGTTTACGATGATCATATTCAGATGAATACCTACGAAAAGGCTATTTTCGTGTATGAAGCATTATAAAACTTGCAGTATTCAAATCAGATGTAATCTATGATAGAAAAATATGAATTTCATTGAATGCTTTAAAAGATTTTGAACAATTTTAGAATACAGCAGACTACCATCACTGAAATACTCTTTATTAGTCGTTGTAGACATGTACAGTACAATGGCATTTAGTATAGTAGTGCGAGCAAACAATTCCGTTCTGCTAAGGTAAAATAGTGCTACGATTCTGTTAGCTTCATATTAGAGCATAAAGAAAGGACATCAGCGAAAGAGGAACGAAAAGAGAGAAAAAGTGACCTTCGTGGGGTTCGAACCCGCATCTCCTGTTATCCGGACAGTCGCCTTTACCAATTAGACCAGAAGGACCAACTTAATCTCGAGATTAGCGTTAGTGAATCATCACAGACGCTAACAGATTCAGAGGTAGAATGTAACATTGATCCTGATTTTTAGACCGATCAATTTGCCGATAAAACTGATGTGTACAGTCAAACTAACTATATATATTTATATTAGACACATGACTATTCTATTATAAAATATATGATTGATTATGTTGTTTTTTACATTTGTTTTCAATAATAGAAAATTAAAAAAAGAACATTGGATTGGATTCATTATTCTACAAAAAAATGTCCTTGATATACATTCATAGAGAAGAATACAGACAACTCTCTTCTTTTTATTCCGAATAATCTTTGAGATATCTCAACATGTAATGAATGAGTTAATTATTACTAGAAATTAGCGGGCATATCCGCTACAAATGAAGAAATATTTACATTGAAAAGTGACCCAGCAGAGTGGAAGACGACAAGAGATGTAGACATGAATATTTCAAAAGAAGTAAAGTACTACCGGATTAGTTTTTTTAATTTCGTTCTATGGGAGTGATCATTAAAACGTGTCTCTTTAACCTCTTACCTGTGGAATTTGTTTTTACGGATATAGTAAAGTTTTCGCGAACGAACTTGTTAGATATTGAAAGATCTTTAAGAATAACGTAAAACTTTTGTAAATAAATATGTTTTATTACTTTATGTAGAGAATAGAAGTTGTTTTTATGAAGAAAGTATGAAAAACTTGATCTTAAAACAGTGTTCTGTTCAAAAATTTAATACGGTATGGTAAATACGAAAATGTGGATCAACACAAAGCGCAACATTACAATTTGTACACTCGAATCTTGATTCATGTCTTGTTCGGTTTATCTGATTCTGTGTATGACTGCAAACGTAGCATCGTCGTGTTGGATTTTGCTTATTTTCAGTGGAAGGAATAAAGGCTGGAAAA